ATAAGAACATTAAAGTACAATGTAGAGTAGAATTTGCGTCACGAGAGTAGGATTTCATTTTGTATTTTCGTTGGTCGTTCGGAATCCTACTCAATCTTGTTTTTTTAAATTTTTTATGTTCTTGTAGCACAGGGACTTTGGCCTGATTTTGGAGCAACTTCAAAAATTCATAAAAAATCTAAATTTGATCAGAATCAGCTAAAACTTTCTACAAAACATAAGTACATGTATATGCATCAGAAAAAATTATAAAAATGAAAAATTCTCTACTTTTTATTTTTGACGAAATTTGGCCGAAGACCCTGTACTATAGCACAGGGACTTTGGCCCGATTTTGGAGCAACTTTAAAAATTCATAAAAAATCCAATCTTGATCGAAATCAGCTCAAACTTTCTACACAACATAAGTACATGTATATGCATCAGAATAAATTATAAAAATGGAGAAATCTCAATTTTCAATTTTTGACAAAATTTGGCCAATCCTGCACTATAGAATAGGGGCTTTGGCTCAATTTCTGAGAAAAAAAATATTAGTAAAAAAATCTAATTTTGATCACAATCAGCTCAAATTTGATAAGTAACATAACGTATATCCATCAGGAAAAATTACAAAATCATATTCTACATGTACATACATTACTATGCGTGTAGTGCCTGTATGTATTATTACTGTTTGCGATGTCTTCTTTTGAAAGTTAATTACAGCTCCCCAGCCAAAATCAGCACCATCAACAATGACATTAACGAGTCTGCCAGGCTGCATGAATGGGATGCAATAGGTCGGCTTCGTGATGAACCTCTACACAAAACAAAAATACTAATAATACCGTATAAGTGGTTAGTTCTGAGGGTTACAAATTTCACAGATTCCTTCTTGATTCACGAAAATAAAATCCACAAAAATCAATTTAATACGGTGCCCAAATGGCACACGTGGTAGAATTTGCAAAAATATAATTTGTGAATTTGAAATTTTAGTAGACGTTGCAAAATATAGGACGCACAAAAATTACCAGCTATACAGTAAAACAAAATTGCAGGAATAAAGCCAAAAATATGTACTATAGATTTATGCCTAATTTATACAAAAATACCCATTTTAAAAATTATTTTAATGTATATCATTAATGTTCTCCTAATAGACAAAATTCATTTTGTAAAATTACATGTACATTTACAATTAATACATACACGTACAATTCTGCACAATAGTTTTAAAATGGATTGTACCTGCATTTGCATTGATAGCTTGCTGATGTGGTCTCTCATCTTGTAATAACTGGTCACGTTATCCTCATCCTCTATCACCAGAGCATCTCTCTTCTTCTCAAGGACTTTGACCTCTAAAGAACAAAACAAAAATTTGATTGGTTAAATAAGTAAACGTCATGGGACTTGATTTAAACAAGGCAAAAAATTGTGCAAAAGAACATTAAAATGTAGAATAAAGCATTTGAGTACTGTTAAACTACACACATTATATCAACTTATCAAGTAATTATAATTGGAATTGTGACCATAATTGACAAAAGGTACCTTATGGCGGATAGGAAAATTGGTGTTTATAGCCTAAAAAATCCAACTTCCTGAGCTCCATTTATCATAAGATTACTCCAGAGGATGCAAAAAGTTACTAGGTAACCTTTAGAAACAATTGCTGACTAACAGAGCACTTCCAGGTTGATATTTTTCATTATAATGATGAATTTAAAAATCCGCCATACGGTACCTTTTGTCAATTATGGTCACAGGGATAAGCGTTTATTAAGGAGGAAACTTATTCTAACAAAAACATGCTCAAAATTGATAATCCAGGCTCCAGAGTTTAATCATAAAGATTAAAACTCACTTTCCTCCAGGTCGGGTATAGTGGAATTATTCTGAAACTGATAGAAGGATCTCTCCAGCATGTACTCAGGGTTGATCTCTTCAACTCTCAAGAGGTTGAGGACCATATTGTAGGTGAGATGAAAGGCACTGTTGAGAGGATCAGGCTGACCCTAAACAAGACAAAATACTGTATAGCACTTTATTTTCGCAATTTTGCTGTAAAATTTTAATCGGCGGTTTTTAATTGCTATACGGTAAAATACATGTACACTGTACATGCATGTACATTGTATGCACTATAAGTGTGTATAAGTAATATACATGTATGTACATGTACATGTATAAAAAATTACAAATATGCATGTACATTTCTAGTCCTATAGGACAGGCTCTTTTGAAGTGATTAAAATTGATGGAATCAAAATAAAGATGTGGGGCACATAATTAAAAACCTTCAAAAACTTGAGGTCATACCTGTTACAGTGTGGTTTAAATTAAATTAAAGAAATAAAAATTATCATAAATAATTACCTTTAGTAATGTCTTGCCAATGGTGGAGTCCATCTGTTCATCAATCATTAACATTACAATACCTCTCTCGTCCAGGCCACGCCTACCGGCACGCCCACTCATCTGTATATACTCACCAGAAGTAATCTAGAAAAAATTATTAAAAATTAAGTAAAAATAATTATTACGATTTCAGTATACTAACATTTAAAAGACAAATCTGCATGCATAGCGTAATACATGTACATTTACATGTACCGTATAGCAGCAAATTTTCACTGCCATAAAATTTCATTGTCCATCCAAGCACTGGCAAGCAGGCCTTACAAGATTTTCTTTTGTTGATTTTATTTTCATTATAATTAACTTCAATTATTAATCGCTAACACATGCAGTCATGCACACTTCATTTTAAATTTTTATTGTCTAAAATTTTTGTTAAAACTTTTGGCCGACTAAGCAAACAAAAATTTCCTGCTATATAGTGCAATTGTGTGCATGTACAAGTACATGCAGCATTCATTACCCATCTAAAGTCCTTTCCATCAAACTTCCTAGCATTAGTAAAGACCACAGTCCTTGCTGGCATGTTGAGTCCAAGAGCAAACGTCTCAGTAGCAAAGAGAGCTTTTATCAGTCCTTCAGAGAACAATATCTCAATAGTCTCTTTGAGGATGGGGAGTAGACCGGAGTGATGGATGCCAATGCCTCGCTTTAATAATGGGAGGAGATGAACAACCTACAGTGTACATTAGAATACATGTACATGTAGGTAATAATATTAATAAAGAAACTGCAATCATACATGTAATATAGCAGGTAGTATGTTAAATACAATGTACCAATTGCCCTTGTAAAAGTATTATTACATGTGTATACTGATTGTGAAAATACATGTATATACATGTACATTGGACAACATAATACAGGGGATACACCTCTGATATTACTAAATAACTAACTATATGTACATGTAAAAGCTACCACTATAGGTAGACCATTTGTCAAAGTTCTATTCTGGCAATTGGCAAACAAAATTGACAATATTAAAACGGCCATTCATCAATGCACATGCTCATTAACGCACATGTGTACACAAAATCACCAAATTAAAATTAAATCGCTAATCAAACTTTACAGCAAAACCACCAACACCATACAATATATCAATAAAAGCTACTGTACTGGTAGCCATTTACTTGTGGTAGCTGCTTGTCATCATCAGAAAGACAGTCGATGGCGTTAGTGAATACCTCATCTACCAGCTCCTTCTCCCGGGCTGTGTTGAAATCAAGCTTTGACATCTGAAGAGCTAATGCTTCACACTCTCTCCTACTGAAACTGAATATGATGACAGGCTGGAGACTACGCTCCATTATCATCTTTACTACTTTGTAACAATTTGAAGGACCTACAACGTAGATAGTAGAGAATGTTGAGATGCTGTTGTGTTACACAGAAAAGTTAAAACTAAGAGCGTAAATAAAACTGGATTCTCAATATGACATCTGCACGTCCGTTGCAACTAAAAGTGCTGTATAAACAAATGGGAGCATGCGTCAATGCGTCAGATTAGAAAATTTCAATTCTGACGCATTGACACATACTCCCATTTGTTTATATAGCAATGTTGAGGTACTGTTGTGTTACACAAAAAAGTTAAAACTAAGAGCCTAGATCAGACATGCAACTTACAGTACATGTACATGTACATGTAATGTACCACAATGTACCATTTAAAAGATACAATATGGTACACTGTACATGTACTAGTAATTAGTGAGTGTGTATTACCTTTAGTTCCTTTCTTGTTTCCTATACCGGATTCTTGAAGGCAAGACATGGCAGTTTGGAAATTATCCTCACGAAACTTTCCCTACAACAAAACAAGAATATACATATGTACACATATACATTGTAGACACCATCACATTCCAACATCATAAAATAAGTGTATCACTGTTATATTATATTTCAGAAGGCTCAGTCTCACATATCAATGGTGTTTGGCCTAGTTTTCTAAAATTCCAGTTAGTTTGTAGTAATAATTAGAAAGTTTACGGTAACTTGCTCCACCTATGGGTGGGGCTCAACATCCTTATATAAGCCCTGACCCAGTGTGACCACGTTGGCCTTTTTTCTAACTCCTCAAGAAGTTCTACTTCGTGCTCGAGAAGAAGAAAGATGGCAACTAGAGAAGCTTTATCAGATGATCCAATCATTATCCAAACCGACATCCAGAGTGATGCCGGTGCAGCTATCCTATACCAATTGGCAAGGATGGAAAAATCCCTCAGCAATGAGATACAGAGTGTCTCAAAGAGGGTTGACTATTTGGAGAAGGGCAGAGAGCCCCCTCCAGCTAAGAAGAGGGCAACAGAGGTGCCCCCCTGGGCAGACAGAGGACCCATGGACTTTCGTGATGGACAGCCACATCAGTGGCCCGTCTCAGACGAAGAGGATGGTGAAGACCCGCCAGAGGCGGACCAGCCTTGCGTCCCGGTATTGTTGTCAGAGAACGACAAGGGATTAGTAACTTCCTCATTTAAGAAGGTCCTGTCTACGGAGGACCGAAGAAGACTGAGGAACGGGTTCCCCTGCCCAGAGCTCCAGGAGACGAGGTGCCCTAAACTGGATCCAATATTCAAGTCGGCATCCGTCCACAAGGAGGCCAAGTCAAACGATGGCGAGTTGGCGCGGATACAGGCGCTAATTCACGACCCTATCGCCCCTCTTCTACGTCTCCTTTACGCCTGTAGTGAGGAGGCGGATCAGTCTGAAGTGTCCCTCCTATGCGATGACGTGAGGCCCCTAGTGACAGAGGCCATTCAGCTCCTGGGAAATGCCTCGGCGAACATGTCCCGTTTAAGGAGGAAGAAGATGCTAAAGTCCGTTAACCCAGACATTGCAGACCTGGCAGAGGAGGACATATTTGAGGCTGCTCCGCCTAACCTCTTTGGTTCAGGATTCGAGTCAAAGATGAAGGAGAGAGTGGACTCCGTGAAACTCCTGTCGGCGTCTAAGGCTACTCAACCTCCAAACCGGAAGTTTTTTCCGAAAAGCCGCTCCACTGCCCCCCCAAGAGGCAGCGGCTCATACAGAGGGAGACCTGCCTGGCCAAAGAGAGACCAGAAGCCTCCAGCCAGGAAGTGATCTCCAACCAATGTTACATAGAGAGAGACTCTCGAACTGTTCAAAATTATT